TCCTGGGCTTTCATCATCTCAGGCTCCACACTTCTGCCCATGGCAGCTGAGGGAACCTGCAGGCAGCCTAGGGGGCTCTGGGCTCTGGGCTCTGGGCTCTGGGCTATGGCTCTGGGCTCTGGTCTCTGGGCTCTGGGCTCTGGGCTCTGGGCTCTGGGCTATGGCTCTGGGCTATGGCTCTGGGCTCTGGGCTATGGCTATGGGCTATGGACTATGGGCTATGGGCTATGATGGGCTATGGGCTCACAGTTAGTCAGCGACCAGTTTGCCAAGCATCCCCTCATCTCCTTACAGCCTTGGTTATACAACACTGGGTGAGGAAATCTGAGGTGAAAATGCAGACTGCTGCTCCTGTATGACCCCCTTCTTCTGGTGCTAATAAAACTGTCAGAGATGAGTTCTTCATATGTGACATTCAACGGCATTGTAGAAGTTGTCAAAATAAAAAGGCAGAGGTGTGAAGAATTACTGAGTGAGATGCTGAGTATGGCCTTTCCCACAGCTCCCTCTGGAGTGCAGACTGGGATTGCCATGAGAAGACTTTCCCTCATACCTTTCTTCCATGACACTGAATTTACAGAGGAGCAGAAGGGAGGGCCTGGGTGTACAGGACATACACAGGCTTTGATGTAGCTAAAGTAGGGCCTCACCTTCAGTGCTCACACTGAGACCTGCTAGCATCTAGGCATCCCCGCTCCCTCAGCACTGGCTGTGTGTAATAAGCATCTAGAAGACATTGGGTGGGTGGGCAGGGTGGCACATGCCAGTAATTACAACTCTTGGGAAGTAGAGGCAGGAGGATCAGGAGCTCGAGGTCAGTGTTGGCTATATAATAAGTTCAAGGGCAGCCTGGACAATTAGAGACCATGACCCAGCAAAACAAAACAACAAAATTTCCCCAAGCCAAACCAAACCAAACCAAACCAAACCAAACCAAACCAAACCAAACCAAACCAAACCAAACCAAACCAAACACATTGATTACAGGACACACATCATGTCCCTTCTTGGTGATGACTCCAACTCCAAGTGTTTTGTCACCTCAAGGCTTTCCCGTGGTCAGCACACTTAGACTCCTGAGTATTCTATGCTTCCAGGTAGAGAGTATTGCTGGCTATGCTCAGGGTACATTGAGCAGCTTGGTGGGTCCTCTCACCTTCTGCTATCACTGCTCTGTCCTGTCATTCACAACCTTCGCTGCTTGGAGGATCTCACTCTCCTTCCAAGACCATTTGAGGTATCATGCTTTCCTAGAGGTTCCCAAATGCTCTGGATGCTCTTTTCTTTCCAGCCAAGGGCAGCATGGGATGGATTTATGAGCCCTCCATAGACTGCCTGCTTGCTGGGGCATGAGCATGTGATTGCGACTGTTTGGGGCATCCCATTACCCTTTCCTATGCCTGATTCTATCTCCCTCGCCCAGAAGACAGCTCCTCTCTGCTCACTGTGGAGTGAGGAAAAGCACACAGACAGAAACTTCTAAGAAGCTGGGAGGAAGGCTCATCTGCCACACAGGGGAAGCCATAGGAGTCTTGGAAGACAGCTTTCAGGGGAGACTAATCTCTGTGGACAAAGACATAAAGTTACAGGGGCAGTGGACATTCTGGTGTGGAAGTGGAACTAAGTTGTTTGCAGTGAAGGGGTAAGGAGGGCATCTCAGGTTCAGGATTAGAGATGGGCAGGAGAGGGAGCTGAGTCAAGCCGTGACTCAGGAGAAGGACCACACCCCACACAGCATGGACCAATGAACTGTCCGTCTATACAGGCCTGGGGGTGAGGTGGGGGCTGGCTCCATTTGTGTTGACCGAGTGTTGGGAATCAAAGAGGAATTTGGTGGCTGTTTGGTTTGTGTGACTATGAGGTAAGCAATGGAAACATTGGGAAATCGATCTTTGGAAAGGAGGAAGGACCACTATGTGCAGGAGAGGGAGGAATCAGGGAAGGGACAACCGACGACCAGATGAACGCTGGGCAAGAGTGCAGCACAGTAAACTATTTGGGGCCCTGGCTACCACCTGGTACAGAGTCCCATATACTTGTCCCTGTTGTGCCTTTCCTGTGTTTCATTAAGGAAACATTTCAAGTGCTGACAGCCATTACAAGTTGAGGAAGTCAAAGGGCAACTTCAGAGCTCAAATTGCACTTTCCAGCAATGAAATTACTCAAGGACTTACAGTCAAGGTACTTGTTTCAAATAGCTTCCAGTTAAATGTTAGGGGCTGGAGAGATGGCACACTGTTCTTGCAGAGGACCAGGATTCAGTTCCTAGCACTCTTGTCGGGTAGCTCACAAATACCTGGAACTCCAGCTGCAGGGAGACCTGACACCCTCTACTGATCACCAAAGGCACCTGCACTCACATGCACCCAAACCCCTCTCCCATACAGATAATCAAAAGTAAATTTTTAAAAATGGAATGTTCATTTAAAATAAAAGTTTAAAAATGGAAATCAATTGATTAATTTCTTAACAAGGTACTGAATTTGGGGCACTTCTGTCAGAAAAAAAGAAGTGATGTAGCTGGGCATTTTAGTCCAAGAAGCTGGGGTAGGAGGATTGCTATGTGTTTGAGTCTAGTCTAAACTGTTCAGTGAGGCCCTGTGTCAAACAAACAAACAAACAAACAAACAAACAAACGTAATCAGAAACACACTCATGAGACCATGAGTATCTGGGAGCAGCTTTGTCACCTGACCTTACTCCAGCTGCTATGGCAGACGCTGATCCAGCTGCCCTTTTATGGACACTTTCCAAGTTGAGTAAAATCTGGTTTTGCCAAGTCCAGTCACTTTCATGAGTCCAGAGAGCTAGAGAATGGGCATCAGAGTAATTTCATATTCTCTTTTTCAGACCTGGAGAATCGAATCTGGGGCCCCTTGTGCATGTTAGGCAAGTCCTCTGCTCCACACCTATATCTGTAGCCCAGTGTGAGTTGTTCTTTTATAAGCACACGATGCAGATCCAGAAGGCTACGAAAAGGGCACAGGAAAAACCAACCTGTTCTCAGGCCCCTGAATCACACTCTCCCCTGGCACTCATCCTGCCTGCTGTTGCTTTGTGTTTTTCTCAAGGTATTCAATACATTTAGAATCACAGCTGCTTGCGTAGCACGTCTCGTACCCTCCTAATGTTGCTTAGTGGGGAGGTTTTTACTTAATTGAAGAACGCCTGTTGTGAAGGTTCTCTATTAGGAAAGACAGAACTGCTCCGTGCGGCTCATTACCAGCTGAGCTTTTCAGGGACTGGCCCAGGACTTACTTATCCAGTGTCTGACTGTGGACATTTGGGCCATGTAGGGGACAGCTTTAGAGTGAACTCTATCTGTTTCATCATCTGTGGCCACAGGCTTCCACAGACTTCTGGCCTCTGAGCTTCTTTTAACACCCAGCTCCTTCAGTGATGGCCAGAGGCAGTACAGTGGCAGCTCCAGAAGCAGAGCCAGTTCAAGTCCCCTGTCCCTCTCTGGAGACAAGAAGGGTGCTTCTGTGGTCAGATGTGAATGGTCAGCCTTCACTTGCTGCCTTTTGCTTTGTGATGAGGCTGAGTTCCTGAGTTCTCTAACCCTATAGGGACTCTTCCTCGGCCTTTTACCTGACATAATCTACCTTCCTGTCCCTATTCCTCAACTCCCACCCCACTAGTTCTCTCTCCTGGCAAGTGTGCTGCTCACTGTGGCCCACTGGGCCATGTCTCTGATCCTTGGCATTATATTCCTTATCTATTAGGGCCTTTTCTGTACCTCAAATTAAAATACCAGTCAGTCACTATTAACATACCTGCTATAGTTGGCACCTATACTGGTTCCTTTGAATGAGAGAAATGTTGGTCGGTGATGCACCAGTACACATGTGTTTAAAGGGATGTGAGTTTTTGTTCAGGGTGTTCCAGGGCAATCTCTGTGTCCTTGACCTAAAATCCCCTGCAACCTTTGCCTTCTAGAGGCAAAGGGGCTCCTTAAGAGCCAGGGGCTAAAGTTGAGACCTCTATGGCTCCAGGTCTGAAATGCCACGTCTAAAGACATTGAGGGGCTAGATAGGCATGCATCACTGTGATATAGTACAATTTTCGGAGTTCCACCCCATTCCAAACCAATACCACAAAGGGCAAGACAAGAGGCTCTAAGCTGTTGCTAGGGGTTGGTTGCTCTGAGCTAGCACCCAGGTCAGGAAGTGGACATGAAGGTGGGTGGAAGACAAAATCTAGACCTGGGGAATATAGAAGATATTCATAGGTGGGGGAGGGGGGTCTCTTTGATCAGTTTTTTCTGGATGTTTTGGGGAGATTCCAGGGTAAGTACCATTTCTGATTGTCCTTAAACATTTCTGAAGTTTTCTTTGTGATATAAAAGAGTGAAAAGTGATTCAGAGAAAGCTATCAGAATTGATCATTGATAACCATCTCAGTTAGACTAGACTGTTAGACCATCAGGGACAGCTTGGGTCTGGCGGTATAGGCCAGGCCTCTGAGGCCCTGGACCTGTCTTCTCTTTGAAGGTACAATTGTTCTTTCGGAACCACAGCTAAGGGGTGAGCTATGGATTTCTTCCCTTGATGGCTGGAGGCTTCTTGGGGAGGAGGGAGAAACAACTGTGGGGATTGTCATAGAGAACCCCACTTCTTCCCCTCCCTTTGGGGCCTGGAGCCTTCTTGGTCTAATCTGTTCTTTCTTTTTCTTAGTCCCTTATGTTTTCCTTGAGTTCAGTTGAAGAGCCTGGCCAGCTAGGTCTTTGATTTCCCCCTGAACAAAAACAAGTGCCCTCCCCCACCTGACTACCAGCTTGCTGTTAGCATTGGACTTTAGCTCCTGTTCTAGTCCGTCACAACAGGACAAACATAGTAGGAAACCTGATCCCTTTACCCCCTTCCACCCACGGTTTGTGCAGAGCTCACAAGCAAAACAAACTTATTTTGAACACTGGGATCCTAGCACGCTTCCCTGACAATCATTAACCTGTGCTGCCGAGCCAGCCCTTCATAAGGCTCTGGGTACGACCAGCCAGCATGGTCCACTGCCCGCCGAGACATACACCCAGCGAGCATTGAACACTGAACACGACTATCTGTCCAGAGAGCTGTGACCACCATTGCCACTACTATCTACTCAGAAAGTCGTGACCACTGAGCCGCTGCTGCCTGCCCAGAGTCTCATCCACCGCCTGCTCCACCTGGTTGCGATGCCTGAGTTCCTAACTGCTGTTTCTTGGCCGTTCCTGATCCTCCTGTCCTTCCAGGTTGGCGTGGCTGCTGGAGCCCCCCAGCCATGGCACTGTGCTCCCTGCACTGCTGAGAGGCTGGGGCTCTGTCCTCCTGTGCCTGCTTCGTGCCCCGAGATTTCTCGGCCGGCAGGCTGTGGCTGCTGCCCAACATGTGCCTTGCCACTGGGCGCTGCCTGTGGTGTGGCCACTGCACGCTGCGCCCAGGGACTCAGCTGCCGTGCGCTGCCAGGAGAGCCTCGTCCCCTGCATGCTCTCACCCGTGGTCAGGGAGCCTGTGTACAAGAACCTGCCGCACCTGCCACGAGCACCTTGTCCAGCTCCCAGCATGAAGGTACTGTAGCCCCTCTCTGCCTCTAGATCTCTTGGCTGGGACATACATGTTTCCTAAGCCAGCAGAGGCCTATCCGGAACCTATAGCAGATAGGACAAAGGCACTCCAGGCCCACTATGAGCTTTCACCTTTAATAGTCAAGGAAGTCTCTCAATGAGAGCCATCATTGTGTGGTTTTGAGGGGAAACATCTCGGAAGGGGTGGTCCAAGCACCCAGTGCAGGGTGGAGAGTTGGGAAGAAAGTTCACAGACTAGGTAGTACTGATCCTGCTTGGTCTTTCAGTGGGGGTAGAGGGAGCTTTGGGGGTTACCAGTTGGGTGGGGTGCTGGCTCAAGCACCTCACACCTCCTCCTGTGGGTCCTGCCCTTGGCAGTTCCAGTGGCTGGAGAGTCCAGGAAGGTTTAGGATGGGAACCCTCCTGCTGCCCCCAGGAGGTTTGCAATGTCCTTTGTAGCATATATCCTGCTACTCAGTATGTGCCTCCCAGATGTTTACAGAACATAATGTGAAAATTTAGGCCCAAACCTTCACTTCCATTCATTGCTATAGACAAACAGTGTTTGATGTGTATGTTGCCTGCTAGGAGTCTGACAATCAGGCTCTTTCCTGAATTTAAGCACTGGTTTGTTTGTAGTAGGAAGCCTGGGAAATGCCTCTTCCTCTGCTCCAGCCCCTATCTCCCCATCTGGGCTGCATGCACGTCCTGTGTGGGCGTGGAGGAGCCTCATAGTTCTATATTCTATGGGAAGCTGTGCTGCAAGTATCTGACCCTTTTGAGTAAATAAAATTAGTGCTACCTCAATGGTCTTTAGAAACCGGCTTTCCCCTGAGTGGAGGTGGGCCTTCTCTGTTGATATCTGATAATGTTCTCCTCTGTGAGGGGCTGGACAAGAGATGGCTCTGTGTGTAGGAAAGCAAGGCTCCCAGAGAAGAGGAGGATGGTGGTCTAGGTGGGGAAGGTTACATTTTAGACCTGGCTTCTAACTAAACTATACCTGTTACTGGTGAGGGGAAGGGGGCCTTCCCAGATTCTTTTTGTGGGGTGGAAAGGCGAGCTAAGGGACCAATTCTCACTACTAAATAGACTCAAGACTTGACCCTAGTCCTTGACTTCTTCAGGGTTCTATCCTGCCCCACTCCCGCTGCCACAGGCCTCCCTTGCCTCACCTCGAAATATACCATTTTCCCAGAAAAGAATTAGTATTGCTATTTGGTCATAATTGTTCCCAAAGAACCATTGGTGAATAAACATCTGATTTCACCTGACCATTATAGGGCGAGAAGTGAGTGGACATAGGAGTGACACCTCCAGGGGCTCATGCATCTGTGGGGCTTGCTTTTCAGAGGCAAAGGCTGCTGTGGCCTCCGAGGATGAGCTTACTGAGAGCCCAGAAATGACGGAAGAGCAGCTACTGGACAGCTTCCACCTGATGGCCCCATCCCGTGAGGACCAGCCCATCCTGTGGAATGCCATTAGCACCTATAGCAGCATGCGGGCCCGGGAGATCGCTGACCTCAAGAAATGGAGGGTGGGTGAGACCCTGCACTCAGACCTTCAGGCTTATCTATCTAAGTGAAAAAGTTAGTCTAGACAATTTCTAAAGGGCACCAAGCAAGAGGCTGAGCACAGGGTATAACTACCCCCATCCCTGATGTATTTTTACCGCCTTAAAAATATGGCAAAATACACAGAGAATAAGATAGGCCATTTTTAGTCTAGGTTACCTTGTCACTGAATACGTTCAGTAATTGTCACTATCCAGCCGATTTTGCCAGCTTTCAGCTAAGCAGCAAGAACTTCTCTAGTTTACTGGCTGGTTTTCAATTTGACCACTTGGGGGCGACAGAGAACCGAAGGTGGATAGACATTGAAGAAGTACACCCAATGGAGTGAAAGAATAAACATTGTTAGGGACACTTTAGAATTTCATTTGGAAGTTATCCAAATGAGTACCCTTGCTCCACAGTCGGTATGACATATGTCAATTGCAAGGACGGCTGTTTGAAAATCTAGGTATTTCTGATGCTAAATTCCACATACAGAGACTGAGTCCACTGTCTTTTCTACTAGAGTTCAGGTGCTCAAATTATTCAGCAGATAGCCAGAGTCAGAAAGCATTTTATATTATTGGCCAGGCTCTTGCCACAATGTTGTTAAGCCATGAGGGGGAATGAGAGAGTCCCGATCCTTTATCCACATAGTCCGAGCCTGAGACCAACTCGTCCTGCACACAGATGGGAGACAAGGCCTGGAGAAGGCAGGCATATTATTTGACTCACAACCCTAGACTACCATGACTACATGGTAGGGGCTGCTCCTGTTCTGTCTCAGTCATGGTCTAAAATGATAACTTTCTGTCTTTTGTACTCATGCTAATATAAAATTATCCTTTTAGGAGCCCTGCCAACGAGAACTCTATAGAGTGCTAGAGAGATTAGCTGCAGCTCAACAGAAAGCAGGAGATGAAATCTACAAATTTTACCTGCCAAACTGCAACAAGAATGGATTTTATCACAGCAAACAGGTAGGTGGCTTTGCTACTGTGTGTTCTCATGGGCTAGCTCTGCTCATCCAGATCCTTGTAAAACTTCATGATTTTTTTTTAAGTCAAATGATTCATAGGCCCCAATACATATCACAGTAGCTTTCTTAGGTGAGATCCAGCCCTGAAGCAGAGACTAGAGAGACCACGCATTAACACAGCAAGGGAGGAGCACTTCAGTCAGTAGGGAGGAGTAGGCATCAGTACCTTCCTTCAGATCAGCAGAGATGTGCTCCATATGCTGACATTCAGGTTTCAGTTTCTTGCAACTAGAGGAAAGGAACACAGTCTGTGTAGCAGACAGATGCCTCGCGTTCTTCCCACAAGTAAAAACAAACTCGGTAGTAAAATGCACTGTTGTGCTTCGTGCTATGTCTTGTTATAAATGAGATCAAAGAAGTCTAGGCTTAATTTTGATGAAACTTTAGGACTCAGGGAAGTGCATTCTGGGAGTTCATTGAGGAAAAATTGAGGACCAGGCCTAGCTATGTGGTAAAGGTGGGTATTCAATGAGCCCTATTGCTGGGCTCCTTTGCCAGCAGGGCCATGAAGCAGATAATTGGTGAAACACTATACCACTAAGCAGATATATGAGGTCATTATCACATGAGCCACACAGCCAATGTCTCCATTTTGTTATGACAACCAGAAGGGCACTGGCATTTCGGAGTCTTAGCCAGTGGGTAGCTGTGCAGTGCTTGGCCTCAGTCAGGGACAGGGTGGCCAAAGCTCTCACCTCCTGCTGCTCTTAACCTTGGTCCTGTCTTTGCAGTGTGAAACATCCTTGGATGGAGAAGCTGGGCTCTGCTGGTGTGTCTATCCATGGAGTGGGAAGAAGATTCCTGGGTCTCTGGAGACCAGAGGGGACCCCAACTGCCACCAGTATTTTAATGTACACAACTGAAAAGAGTTCTTTTCTTTCTCCATGTTCACACAAAATATTTAAGTATATACTATATTTATACTCTGGAGCACACCATTTTATATATGTGTATATGTATATAACTAGGAACTAGTTTTTATACTCCACATAACTGCTTGATACATGAAGCTGGCTTGTATTTATTCACTGTAAGTTTATTTTTTCTACACAGTTCTTATGCTATATTAATTTATATAACATGAAGCTCTTCTTACTTCCGTACATGTAAATACTGTATCTCAGCTCTTCCAATGTTCTGCTTTGAAAAGGCAGAGTGATAACTGCCCAGAACATGCACAGGTCAGTCTGAGGTAGGGGGCTTTCAGTGGGTTAAGGGAGGGAAGTTAGCCCACACTCAGGGAGATTTCCTCGTCGTATCCCACAGATCTGTGTCTGATGCACATTTGCTAGGAAACTTCCAATGCTGATTGTGTAATCAAAGCTAACCGTGGAAAGCTGCATCTGATACATTGTTAAACACACATCTGGAATAAATATTCTACCTGGAAATACTTTGTCCCTGTGGAATTCCAGCTTCGTCTTTCTTTCCTCAGTCCGTTTGTCTTTCCCCCTCACCTGACTCCTGGTCTGTGCTTTGGGGACAGATGGTGCAATAGATAGTGCTTGCTTGTTTACAGAACATCTTGCTCTGACACTCTGACTTCATAGCCCCATTTCCAAGCACTATCAGGCCTCTGTCTGGGCCAGACTAGAGATCCCCTTCCCCTTGGCCCATTTCCCTTTCTTCCCGGGGCCCTCAGCCTCTTCTCTCCTTAACGCTCCTCAACTTATTAATAGGCCCAGGTTTCCTCTAACTGAAGTACACATTCAGGGGAGTAGTCACTGTATTGTTTTGCCTTTGAGACAGGATCTTACTCTGTAGCCCAGGCTGACCTAGAAGTCACAGCAACTCCCCTGCTTCAAACTCCCAAGTGCCCAGGGCCGCCATGTCCTGCTGTTGAACTGCTTTTTCTTTGTTGTTCTCTGGCCTTCTTGTCCTCTTTGAGTCACCATCCACCTTTGCCCCAGCTGGTTAGCAGCACATGCTCCCCCCCTAGTTTCCAGACCAGAGTCCTGGCCACAGCTGTCTTCTCCCCCTACATTGCCTGTTTCCCAAAACTGACCCAGGAGGCTTTTCTTGCCTGATGCTTTTCCCTCCCCCCTTTGCTGGCTGTTCCTGGTCTCTCACTCCCTGTCTTTCTCCATAGCATTTGGTCCATCCCCGAGTATCCCACTCAGGCTGCCTGCAGCCATGCTGACTGATGTCTGATGGGGAAGCTGAAACCTCTGCTCCCTGCTGGCTGCTTCCCCAAGTGCCATAGCTACTTCTGCCATCTGAGTAGAACATCCTGGCCAGTACCTGTAGCCTGTCCCTTCTCTGGAGCTTCCAACTCCTTATCTAAACCCCAATCTATGGCTGCTCTCCTCTGTAGAACTCAGTGGTTAGACTCCTCATTAAAGTATAGCACCTATCTATCTATGACAAAGCCAAAGGTCTGGGCCCCAGAAGCCCTCAAATGCAAGGGCTTCTGGTGACTTAAGCAGAATTTGTGGTAGGACTAGAGCAAGGTCCCCCAGACCAAGTGAAGGAGAAGCTGTGCACCCTTAAAGATACATTCAAAATTGTGTTTGATTAACAATTCTCTGGGCACCTCAGGGCTCATCACCTTAAGGCATAATCTCCAAATAAAGTCAATAATAAGGTCATAATTCACAGCATGATACAACAATGTCATGTTCAACCAAAAACCTTTTCTGGAAGAGGAGGCAAAGCTTTGAGCAATGCCCACTTTTGCCTGGGTGTCATACAGCTTAAATAGTATGAAGTTAAAACCATTCAAATGCTATCATATAAAGCCACTATACCTCTGTCAGCAATCCTCATGTCTGTGCTCTTGCTCCACACATTCTGCCTGCATGTGCATGACCATATCTGGTTCTTAGCGGGGTGCTGTGTTCATAACTGAGTCCTCATGCCCAAACAGCAAACACTTCACTCACTGAGTCGTCTCCCTAGCTCTCCCCACACCCCTGTGTGTTCCATAAGTGTTCTGGATCAGCTCTAATACAATGGTAGCTCTGTAGCTGGTGATTCCTGCTGCAGCTGGCAGTTGTAAATGTACACAAACCAGGATGCTGAGTACTTAGCCTCAGCATTTCTATTCCAAATGGATCCTGACTCAGTTTTCTAAAATGGAACCAGTCAGGCTGAGGCACCACCCTAAAGCCATTCTTCCTCACCATCACAAGGAATATTTAAGAGGAGGGCACAGCCTGACCTGCAGGCCTATTGATCTTGAGGTCCGGGCAATGTAACTAAGAAACCACTTCACAGGATCCTGTGCTCCAGGTCTGAGCTTCCCCACCCTCAATGTTGAACAGCAATCCACTTTCATCATGATAGTTGGATAGATCTCTGTTACCCACCAGGGACTCTTGGCTGATACCCAGACCCGACGGTGACCTCAAAATAGTCACACGGCAGCCCTGCCTTCCAGTTTTGTAAATTCTCCATTGGGTCCCCTGGTAGAATCATTGGAACCAATATCTCTAGGTCAGAACATAACATTGTAGAGACAGGAAGGAAACATGCTGCTTGTAAAAGGCTCGAGTCGAGTCTTCTTGTCTTTTGTCAGAGGTGACAGGTGCACACTGGGAGAAGGAAGGCAGTGGTGGGTACTATCACTATTGTATCTTTCAAGCCTTGATGGCCACACTAATTTAACCCAAACTGAGTTCCTTTCTCTCTTGGCATTGTGGCACCAACAAAACAATCGCCCCCGCCATCAAACAAAACAGAACAAACAAACAAAAAAACCCAACAAACCCTGATTGCCAACTGAGCTTTGAAGGAATATTTTACTTTATTTATGTCTTGGTTAGACAATAAGAAGTTGGTGGGAGAAATCAAAGATCAATTAACAGAGAAGAACTGGTAGCCCTTTGAGTTAAAGGGGGTGGGTCTTAGCCAATGAGCAGGAGGCTTATTCATGACTTTCCAGGTCACTTATGGCTCAAACAGGTTTTCCCCAGTCCTATCTAGGAACACTGAAGTTCCCTGTGTCTGTAGGACTGGACAGGTGGATTTGTCTCTGAAACAGAGTATTGGATAGCAAAAAATGAGCACTTCTCAGGTTTGCAAGGGTCTTTTCCTGGCAACAGCTTTCTATGGTCTCTCTCTGAATACACTATCTTTTCAATCCCGGAAAATGCAATGGTAATATAGTAATCAGAGGCACTTCTCATAGCCTCTGCTTGGCCTGACTGTGAAAGCCTCACACTTCAGCTCAGAGGAGCAGCTGGTGAATGTATCTTTTCCAATTATGCAGTCTGAGACTGGCGCATACCCAGCCAACAGGCATGAAGCTGAACTAAATCTCAGTTGATTTTACCTGTGGTCCTACTGTACGCCCCCAGATCTCCAAATACTCACACAACCAAATGCTGTGATTTCACAATCACTTCAGACGTCTGTTTGATGACATGGCTCTAAGCAGGCAATTGGTTTGAAATCATGGTCTGAGTACATACTTGAATTATTTTGGCATGGGGCTGTTATTCCAAAGCCATAGTGACTGAAGCACTCCCAGCATCCTTTGGGGTTCTCCCTCTTTACTGGACTCAGCCCATGCCCCTTCTCCAAGCATCAGTGGTAGAAAGGCCAGCAAACTCATTCACATCAGCTGTATGGGGAAGCTGCTCTGAAGACCAGAGGCACCAACTGGAAAGGCAAGGACCAGAGTGTCATGGAAACAACCTACTGACCTGCTTTACCTGTCTAGACCATACTAGCTGCCAACATAACCTACTGGAACTAGATACTCCTCTGCATGTGGCCTGGTGTTGCATGGATGCCAACAAAGGCCATCACAACTGTACCACTGAGATTCTGGAATTAGCTATTATCTATTCATGTTCATATTTTTCTATGTCTAGAATACTTTGTCCTCTCTCAATAATCTCTTTAGTGACTCAGGACCCAGAAACAGACAAAAGGGCTTTTTCTTTAATGATAAAAACTTTATTTACTATTTATAAATACATTGCAAGACAAACTTTTCAAAAATACATTTTTCCCCAAAAACTTAATTAAAAAAATAAAGAAAAGCTGATAGGCAGGCAGAATGTCTTGAGATTCCTTTGTGCTCTCAAGGAAAGCTCTATACAGCGCATGTCCACCCCGTGGGATGCAGTACAGTTCTCCTCGAGCCCTGCGTTGCCAGACCTCCTTGGCCTTGGCCTTAGGGAGAGCAGCCCAGCCTCCAGACACAGGCTTCTTTCCTCGGGCGTGTCTGTGGTTACAACACCTAGCATCTCTAACATTTTATCTAGGATTATCTAGCACAGATTCTATTATATTTGGGCTATGTCGGATACAATGTTAAGAATTAAGAACATATTTTGTCTGCATATACATGTGAATTATAAAGAAAGTTTTAGAAGGACCCCAAGATCAACAAACAGGTGATTGACTCTCTATGTGTTCTTACCAGGCTCTCCAACAAGCCATTCCTCTTTCCTGTTTAGATAGGAAGATGAAAATAAATCATCTGGTTTTTTTTTTTTGAAAAGCTGCCTCCCCTCAGCTTCACCCCACAGCAAACTTTTTGAGAGGTTGGACCAGAAAACACTGCTTTTTGAAGTCATCCGAAGAACTAAGTGCACCATTATTTGTGACATCTCTGAACATGGAGTCTGATATTGCTCCTCCCACTTGGGGCCTTCTGCTGGGCCAAGTCATCAGGAAGCTGCCTGACAAAGGAAGGTCCTTGTCCTTGTCTTTATGGGCTCCCAGAGTGCCCTAGAACATTCTCAGTCATGTTTAGTAAGAGAGGCAACACACATTCTCTCCCACAGTTTCCAAGTAGATCAGGCCACTTGCAGATACGGGCCAGGCCCTTTATCAGAGATGGCACCAAAAGGACCATGAGCCTCAGGAGTCTGCTTCCGGATGTCTGGGTCACTCGGTTATGGGTTTCCCCATTCTCCATAGGGCCTGCACTTATTTACAGGGGATGGAAAGAGGATTTGTCTACGTCAGCCACAGAACCTCTGAAATCAAGAAGGCAGAGGGCCAGCAGCACTGAAGCCCGCACTGGGTGGGTAAGTTAGCGGGGAGATGGCATCCGTTGCCTGGAGTACACGAGTGATTTTCATAGGAAGCAACAGGAAAATTCAAACTGCTTTTTTGTTGACTACTGGGAAGTAGGAAGTTCACTATTTAAACAACCAGAGGCATTTCAGAAATCTGTCTAAACTTTGGTTTTTGTGTGTGTGTGTTTGTGTTTTTTTGTTTGTTTGTTTTAACTCAGTTCACCACAAAAAGAAAAAAAAAGAGAAAGAAATATAAATCAAGGCTGTAGCCAGCTGCTGATCACGTTGTTGGCAGTCTTTTGTGCAAAATAAGGCGTATCTGAGCTCCACTCTAACTGAAAGAAGAAAGAAAGAAGGAAAAGAGTAAGACATACGTTGAAATAATGACCTCCAAAATCAAAATCAAAGGAGCTCCCCCTTTCTCGACCAGCCTCTAAACACTCAGTGTGGCATTATCAAAGGGGGTGGACCTCAGTCTATTCTTTTCCAACAAATCAGGGAACACCATCTAATACTTTCAATGTTAAAATGTGTTATCCACTATTAGATATTTTCCAACTTAGGAGGAAAATACTCTAACTAAAAATGAAATCTTTTTCTGTCTATGAAAATTGTCTTGACAAAGCAAAGCATATTTATTCTTCTCCATAATTCCTTATTTATTGCAAGAAAAAAAAAGAATGCTAAGTATAATTATATTCTCCAAAATGTGGTTTAGAATATCAATGTTACATTAGATTTATTAGATTTAAATAATGCCTTAAAAAATCATACTGACCACAAACTAAAGGCATATTCTAATTTTTAAAATTTTATTTTACAACAAAACAAAATCTAGGGAAATCTCTAATTCAGAAAACAAATACACCAGGTTCTCTAGGATGAAAACAGTGTGCCCCAACCCCCCAGAACTACTGCCGGTAAAATTTTATTTAAAAACCTTCACAGTGCTTGCCTGCTTATGAAATAGTGCACATTTTAATTCATTTAGAATAGAGCTGTGTGTACTTGAAGCTACACTGACTCTCGTGTCTGTCCTTGAGGGTATGGTTAGGTTAAGGACTTTTTTTTTTCCTGAACTATCCCCTTTACTTTCCTCTCTTTGGGCCTGACTGCAGCTCCTGGGCCAGGGAGCCCAGGATGAGGGATGGGTACCTGGTAGCCATAGTTGCTCCTAGCAATTCCCCTTAACCTCAACCACTTTCAGAAGGAGCTGACCCCTGGGCCTGGACCTTTGGCTTACGTGGCACAGCGGCATCTACTGGCTCTGCACGCTGAGGCAATGCACGTCATCTTTCCCCTTGGTGTCATAGCCTGGCAAGGGCTGCCCGTACTTGTCCACACACCAGCAGAAGCCACGCTTTCTGCCTTTGGAAGGGCGGCACTGAGGGAGAGAGAGACAAGACCAGGACATGAATATCATATGTACTGGCTAGTTTTACGTCAACTCAACAGAAGCTAGAGTGATTAGGGAAGAGGAAATCTCAGTTGAGAAAATGTTCCCATTAGACTGACAAGCTGACAAGCCTACATGATACATTTCTTGACTGATGACTGATGTTGGGGGAGAGCAGCTCACTATAGAGAGTGCTACCCCTTGGCAGGTGTTCCTGGTGCTAAATAAAAGCAGGCTGAGCAACCCATGGGGAGCAAATCAGTAAGCAGCACTCCTCCATGGCTGCAGTTTCTTCCTTGAGTTCCTGTCCCGACTTTCTTCAGTGGTGAACTGTGATAGCAAGCTGCTTTTGGTCATAGCATTTTTTTCACAGCAATAGAGACCCTAACAGACACTGAGGGTAAACTGGTTACCAGGACCCAAAGTGGCTCCCCAGTGTTCTACCGGGCTGAGGCAAAATTATGATGGCCATGGCTCCTGCAGAGCCACCCATGTGTTGGTGGTGGTGTCCATCCATGTACACCTGTGTGTGCTGGAACCTCTCTGGGGAAGCCGGAGGGCTCGTTGAGCTTCCTTTGCTTTGTTCTGTGTCAGGGTGGATCTCTCAGACCTCGCACCCAACCTCACCCGGAGTCTCTCTTTAGTGGAAGAGAACTTAATCTAATCTAATCTAATCTAATCTAATCTAATCTAATCTAATCTAATCTAATCGAACTAATCTAATCAGTGGACAGTACGAGAGGCTCAGGCTTCCCGATGAAGACCGCTGTAGAAACACCAGAACATGGGCATGCTGGGTGAACACTGTTTACTTTTATCTTCTAGATTCGGGTTGTGAACTGCCCAATTAGAAAGCCACCGAATGACACAGACATGTATCAGAAGAGAGGATGCAGTCAGCAGAGAGCCACGCTGGATGTGGTTCCCGGACGTAGCTGTGAAGCTGATTACCCACCGAGCCAATGGAGACAGAGGAAGACAACATCCTGGGGACCTCACTCACCTGCTTCTTCTTATAGAACCCCTTCTTGTCACAGTTTGGGATGTGGACACCTCTGGGACTCAGCACATTGAGGAACTTCAGATGATTCAGTGTGTCCTCCATTTCTCTGCGGCAGGGACCCTGGGGACACAATTATTGTTTTGACAATCTCACAATGGCCACAGGACCATCCCAAGAGGAATGTGTGATGTGCCTCCCTGGGACATTCTGCTTGGGACCTTCTCACACAAAGTTCCAGGTGGATAATAACCATCACCCCCTGTCTCTTTTGCTCTCTCCAGAGTAGACAGAGGATCCAGAAGGCAATCTAAGAATAGGCCAGGAGGCTTTGGAAAACTCAGCGAATAAAATAAAGCCAGCTTGGGGGAAGTCCACTTCTTCATTTGCAGGGCCCATTGTACTTTTTACTAGTGCAGTTCAGCTTAAACTTCCCAAGAGTCTCTGAATAGGAAATGCAGCTTGTAAAGAAGAAGCTGCCCACCTATGAACCAGGACCCCTGGGACTTGCTACATGAAGACTGTCTTAGGGTGTTTCCTTTTCCCCTCGCCCCCCACCAAGAGGAAAAGTTCTCACGTATTCTGTCTCCCGCTTAGACTCAGAGGAGAAGTTCTGGGTGTCTGTGCTCTGAGACTCATAGTCAACTTTGTAGCGCTGGCTCTCCCTAGCATGGCTTTTTTTGATGACATCCATCTTTGAATGGAGTGGATGGAACTTGGATTCAGTCACTCGGTGTGTGCTGGGGACAACCTGGCTTTCCACACTCCCAGCATTGTGGTCCTCCTCAGACTCACTGGCGTTTCCTGGGAAAGAACATGGGGTTAAGGAAATGATTATTACTGACAATGGAATAATAATCTTGTCAGAAGCAGGTTATACCTAAGAGGCAATGTCATTCAACAATTCTTAGTAAGATAAGACAAAGACAATTGGAAAAGCATTCTAGAATACTACCTGTTGCACTGTGACTGCTTTACTTTAGGAAGCCATCTATTTGAAAGTCACTCTGTCAAGTGCTTTTACTACACAGTTCCAAGTGACCAGCTGGGGCTTGTCAAGTCCTTCCAGAGATGAGAAAGCAGCAGGCTCCATCTCCTACCAGCAGGGGGCAGTCATGCCCCAGGAAATGCTGCTATGAAGCTGACCAGAAAACATAGGACTCCAAATGTGCTTCAGCCTTGGGCACAGTTATTGGGGGGCAGGAGTGCGACAATGTGGGAAAAATATAATTCATTCTCTACCCATTGTCAGCAGCACACTGTCCTGGGGATTCTGCCATCCACCTGCTGCTCTGGTTTCATGTTAAATAGCTCACTTCTGGGACCCAGAAGCAGGCATGGTTAGAGAGGTTTATTTCTGAGGTGCTTGCACCTCTTTCAACTTCAAGGTTCACGTGGATTCTGTTTCAGGTGGGAGGGGCACCTTCTTGGGTGCACATTCCCACCCCCCATTCAGCAGTGGAGCACACAGAATACAGATAGCACCAACATATTACCCGCAGCTTAGACCTCTAGGCGCCAAAGTGCATTCATTACCTTGAAAGGGGTAAGGGGAAGGGATTTTATAATCCAACTGATACCAATGCTGAAGGGTTAATGGATCAATTGGATCTAAGTATGTGACTAAATTTGTGGCTGTACAAGGAGCCAGATTTGCCACTCCATTTGCAGTAAGAGCCCCCCTCCCCAGCCCCCATTCCAGGGGGATGCAAGGCCAGATGATTGGTCCCCAACTCCCAACTCTGAACTTTAAAGCTTTAGGTTCAAAGTTCAGGTCATGGCCATAGAATTCCTTCCCGCCTGAGAAACGGGCTTTAATAGGTTTCCTAGCATGGAGTTCTAGCTGGGATCTGGTTCTGAATCTATTTTGTCTGGGTGCAAAGTGCAGGGCCCCAGCCGTCCTCTCTTTTTTATTTTCCTCTCAGGAAATGCCAGGCTGAGGCATCCTGCCCATGAGGAAGATATGGGCCTCTGGCTCTACGCCAAGAGCAAATGCTTCACTCTCTAGAAACTGTCAGAGGGTTGCAGATTCTCTTAGAGACTCCTCTTAGAGGAACTGACTTGCAGGATTCCAGAAGGCCCTCTTGCCAAGAACCCTCAGTTTCTTACCTACCAAATAGCTCCCTGAAGTTCAGCTGCAAACCCTCAATGAACTCTGTGCCTTCTCAAGCACAAATTCCTAGGGTCTAGACTAGCACCTGGAGGAAGAGGTCCATAATTAAATTTGTAGACTTGATTTCAATTTGCTATAACCTTTGTGGTTGGTTTTTTTTTTTTTTTTTTTTTTTTTTTTGGAAAGTACAGGGACAAAGGAAATGCTAATAAGTAAATGGACATATTTGTGCTACCAATAGAGGTCACTAAGGCTTAACTCAAAATAGCAGTGTTGGTATTTCTTAAGATTGCTTTTGGTATAGCATAGAACACACTAGAAGTCACAGACACACAGGCCAACGGCATGATTTTGCCTTTGTCAGCAAAACAACTGGAGTTGTGCTTTGCCAGGAATCCAGTGCTTCTCAGGGATGAACATACCAGGACTTGCTTGTACCCAGGAGTGTAGGTCAGCAGCCACAGAAATTATAAAAGGACTGTCTACCCAGCAAGCCCTGGTCCTGGGGCCTCGATCGGCATCATCTGCCAGCCTGGTGTGGGGAAACTGGAGAATTCTAGCCTTCAGATGTTCAGGGCAATAACTTGACTCACATAACTAAGTGAGACTGGCTCAGAATGCTGGACATTTAGATCAACATCTGCCAAATCTATTTAAATCTGCGTGTTTTTTTTTTTCTTAAAGGAACAACGGATGCCCTTAGAGTGGCTGCCTGCTTGGCAGAGCTTGCACCCAGGAGGATGTAACTGTTAAACATTTGCATTTTTCTCAGTGCTGCTGCTCCTGCTGCACCTAGGTCAGATTAGAAAGAGAAACATTCCTGGGTCGCACTTCTAGTCTCTGCTTTGGCAGGGAACCGGCCCGGGTCTGCAATCCCTGCACCACATGCAGTCTCTGAGCCCGGAAGGCACCGTAGAGCATAGGATGGTGCCTACGCTCAAACCCTACCCTATTGCGGCTCCCGGTGGCGTTGGGCAGTTCTTACTTTTTGAATGTTAGGTTTCACAGTCTCAAAGACACCAATACTCTTAATTTCATCTCGTTAGCTTTTGGATAATCTGGGACACCATCGTGCTTCGCCAATCAGCCCGTACAAAAGATAGTATGTTTCAAGACAGGTACTGTTTACAACAGCGTGTCCGCCTACAAACACCTTCATGGTTCGGATCTGACCCGGGATTCCTACACGCAAGCTTCCCCGGGATAGATAAGCTCTTTCCCAATTTGTGAGGAATGAAAGCCCAGGTTCACAGTTGGGCTACACAGTCCTAAACCCAGGTATCCCCCGGTTCAGCAGGGAGATTCCAATGACCGGGATCTGTCCACTGGCAGTCTCTCTTGGTATCCACTCCTCCTGCCCCGGAAATCTACCTATTTTCAAGGAGAGCATTTTGCAACTTAGAAGAAAGCTGCACTCTGAGAACCAAGCAAGAGGAACGATGGCTTCTGTGCCCCTTCTACCTCCCAGGGTCCATTTCCCAACTAACACCTTCAAGATGAGCCACGCCAAGCCTCTGAAGGACACACTCCCTGCGACCCTCGCCGGGTCCCAGGGAGTGCGCGTGGCGCACGTGGCAGGGGCAGCTTACCTGGAGCAGGTTGGGAGGGGAGGTAGGAGCTCAGGCTGCCGGCGGCGCTGGCGTTGGCGCAGAACCCGCGGCCATTCAGCAGCGCCTTCAGCGGGTACTGCTCCGCGGGTCGCGGCTGGCAGCGGAGGCCGGTGCCACAGCGCTCCGTGTAGACGCCGCACGCGTCGCCTTCGTGCAGCGCGCAAGTCAGGCAGCAGCCGCAGCCGGGCTCTCGCACCAGCTCCGTGCACGCGGGCGCGGTGGGCGGAGGCGCGCACTGGGCCAGCGCACGCGCGTCGCACGGTTCGCAGCGCACCACGGGGCCCGCGCCCACCGCGCCCGCGCCGGCCCGCGCCACTGGCGGTCCGCGGAGCAGAGTGAGGGCGGTGAGCGCAGCCGCCCAGAGCGCGGGGCGCGCGGGATGCATGGCGCCGGGAGGACGGCTCGGTGGAGGGGAGAGGAGTGGAGCACGCGGGATGAGGCGGCGGGATGGGAGCAGCGAGCAAGCAGGTCCTCAGCGCCCAGTCTCCGCTCTAAGCTCGCATCTGGGCAGCCCGTGCTTGCAGGCCGATATATAGAAGCCGGGGTGGCGGAGGACACGCCCCGGAACGGCGCGGGTGGGGGGTGGGGGGTGGGGGTGGGCCGGCGCAGGCTCGGATCCGGGGCCCGCGCCTCCCGGCGAAGCGGGATCGAGGACGGGGGCGCGCTGCGCGCGTCTTCGCTGGGCACCTGCTCCCTGTGCGCACGCCCTGTACCAGAGCCACCTCTTCGTCCCGGGTAAACGGCGGGCGCTCCAGGCTACTTTGTTGTCTTTGGAGTCCCAGCACTCCAGGGGCTCTGGACCCCTCTTTCCCCAATGACGCCCAGGCAACTTGGCGTCCCAGACCTTACAGCCCCTCCCCCTGGATGCCTGGCTAAGCTGGCCTTTCCAGGGCTGGTTTATGTCTGGAAAGCTGGCGCGGGCCCATTCAACTCCTGTGTACTTTGCAAAGTTTCTGCACTGTAATTCCTCTTGTAGGGTATGCTGCAGTAGGCATTTCCCAGCGAGAACGCGCAGATCACATTGAAGTCTGGAGAACCTTGGCTCTCGAGGTTTAAATCTGCACCATGGGCCACTTGAGTTCCCAGAGTCTCCCACCGCACAACCGCACAGTTGACACAGATACGGGCTCAAAGGATTTGCTTTTCAAAGCGATCGGGACTCAAATACTAAAATACTTCGTAGCACTTTCCCAGTTAGCAGAATGGGCAGTGAGGGCATCCCTTCACTCCCTTTTCTTTTTAAAATTGAGAAGTTCCATTTGTTCTTCTTTGGGGGAATCTTCTTAGCAGATGCATGTATGTTAAAATAACTACTGAGACACTGACGAGAGTGTCACTGATTAATAGCCAAGCAGCCCTTAAAATGGACACTGTTCACAGCCATTTTTAGTCATCGTTGGACCCCTATACTAACTTCTGATGTGCTCTAGTGCAGGCTGGAGTTCTTGCTAATCCGCTCATTCTGACCACCTCATAGAGTTGAAATCCAAGCGCAATAGCGCTGTTGTACTGGTCTCTCCAAAGTCTGCACGCTCCTACTGCTGGTGACCAACAGAGGGCGCTGGTGGTCCAGAATTGAGTTGACAAACTTCGCGGCTTGGTTGCTTATTTATTTATTTATTTATTTATTTATTTATTTATTTATTTATTTATTTATCAATTCGTGGATGAACAGTGGGAACTGGAGAGACCGATTTAGAGGGAGACTTTCTTGGATACCCTTGAATTGTCGTTTACCATAGGGGCTAGAATGATTGTCTTCGGAGAGACCTTCGCAATTTTATGCAGGAAGCAAATGAAGACGACTTCCCTCACAAATCCCTCCGTCTATCATGCAGCTTCTGGTGAAGTTGACATTCAGTCACCCATGTGTCTTTACATCTCCCCATATCTGTGGCTCTTTTTCCATATGTTTATATTCCCTTTAAAAAATTATGTGTTTTAATTTTAGTTAAAATTAGTTCTCCTTTATTTGGTACTGTAAATGAGAATGATAAAATTTGGGCCTTTACAAAGAAAAAAAGATCAGACACGTGAAGGCCAGGGCTACGTGGTAGCCGGCCAAGGCACAGCACCCCCATTTTTTGCTTCATTTCTTCCTCATAGTGCTTAGGTTGTGGCTAGGCTTAACACGGTCTACCAGAAAGTGTCCCAGTTATTCCTTCTTTTTTCCTATGGACTAACGCTCAAGAACAGGGCCTCCGATTTCATTGGCAAATTGAAAGAAAAAAAAGTGTATCCCCTAGGGTTACACTTGGTCTTTAAATAACCACAGAGACCTTGACTCCAAAATTAGAGCAAGGTTCAGTATCAAAAGTGCTTCTGGATGTGGCAGTCCTTCTCTCTGTTCGCTACAATGTTACACACAGAACCAGTCTACCACTTTTACCCAGCTTTATCAACAGGCTAGGAGACTGGGGACGCCTAGAAGGAATGGCTTCTTGGAAAAGATAACTCCGCTTGGTTCTTCCATTCTTCCTTTACAGTTTGAGAAATGGGCGCTTGCTCCACGTGGGACTCCTAGGGGGCGCCAAAGCGCCAGGTCTCCACCGAGTTTACTAGCATCTTAGAGATTACGCAAGATGGGTTTCTATAAGTGTTTTGTATTGACGGTCATCTCCTTTATCATGAACTCTTGCGTTGAAATCTTGCACCAGCCAAGTGCATCCGTGGCACTGACACGAGGGAATTTTTGCTTTAACATTTAGCTGTTTTCTTCTGACAAAACTTAAGGACACCCTTTCCCTCCCACCCAAATAATTATTTCAAGAAGGATTTGGATGGGAGAAAAATGTAATTTTATGTTGACGTGCTGGTTAATTATGTCGAACTTTACAACTGTTGTTTGTGGTTACGGATCTACGTAGCATGTACAGTGGGGAAGATGTGTTGCTCCCCTATGATGGTATGTGGCATCAACTGTGAATAGTGACAGTGGGCAGGAGTCTCACCTTTGTCTACCATATTGGTCTTTCCTCTTAGGCTCAGGGCTGGACAAGCAAGCAGAGAGCCTCAAGTCCTTAGCACTGTGGACAGCAGGCATTAGCTCCAGATATCCCTAGGAACGTGACTGTCATCCTTACTGACCATTACTAGCCTTTGGTTAGAAGATCCAGACTCCCAGGGGCAGGTGATGCTGAAGACCTAGTTTCCAGGACTCAGTGTGACTCAGCCTAAAGCTTGAGAATTCCCTCCAGGGTAAGTAGGTGGTGACAGGGAGCTTCATTTTTCCTCCCTCAGGTCATCTGCTGGGTGAGCCTCACAGAGTTACATATTCCAGACTTTACAGGGACCATTAACTGCCAAAAGTCATCACTACTAATAGCACTGCAGGTAACTTACCCAAAGAGCACCGCTAAGCCATGTACAAGCCAGACACAGGCAGTCCAGAGGAAATAAACAGAGACCAAGGATCATGTATTGTATAGCCATAGAGAGAGAGAGAGCAAAGGGGCCTCACAAGTGTGCTGTTATCACAGTAGAGGAAGGACAAACCTGTTCAGGTGGTCAGGACAAGCTTCAGAACAGTGTTGGTGGCATTTGAGTCTCACAGAATGAGGTACTTAGGAGAGATGGCATTGACCTTGGCAAGTGTACGGGGGAGTAGGTAGAATACAGGAGATGGCATTGGAAGGAGGTTGGGGATCTTCAGAAGTAGTGCTGTCTGGTTTGATCGGGTTTGACAGTTTGGAGATTGTGGTGGTTTGAGTGAAAATGGCTGCATGTATGTCTTTGTGAGAGGTACAGACAGTTGTGGTTGCTGGGATTTGAACCCAGGTCCTCTGGAAGAACAGTCAGTGCCCTTAACCACTGAGCCATCTCTCAACCCCCACAGCTGGGTCTTAATGTGGTATTCCTAAAGCAGGAGCAGGGCCTGTCTCTGACAACATTGCCTGCCTTTGTATCCCTTTCTCCTTACTGAGCTGCCTTGTCTAGCCCCAGTAGAAGAAGAGGCTCCTAGTCTTACTGCAACGTGCTATGCTAAGGCAGGTTGATATCTATGGGAAGCCTCCTGTTTTCTGAGGAGAGAAGGGTGGATTTTGGGGAGGTGAGGTGAGAGGGAAAGACTGAAAGGAAAAGAGGGAGAGGAAGCTACAATAAGGATATAAAGTAAATAAATAACTTAATAATAATAATAGCAATAATAAAAAAAGAAAATGGCCCCATAGGCTTGTTGGAGTAGGTGTAGCCTTATGGGAAGAAGTATGTCACTGGGGTTGGGCTTTGAGGCCTCAGAAGCTCAAGCCAGGCACAGTGTCTCTTTTTCTGATGCCTGTCTGTCCAGATGTAGAGCTCTTGGCTCCTTCTCCCATACCGTGTCTGTCTGTATCCCACCATGCTTCCTGCATGACAATAATGGACTAAACCTCTAAAGTGTAAGCCAGCCCCAATTAAATGTTTTTCTTTGTTAGAGTTGCTGTGGTCATGGTGTCCCTTCACAGCAATAGGACACCGACTAAGACAGTGGTAAATGGCAGGCTTTTGGAGAAAGGGCTAAGACATGTTCTGTAGAAAAGACAGTCATTTTGGAGTCTCTCTGTCT